AGAGGGGTGGGCTATAAATAAAAATTATTATTATTAATTATTATTATTATCCAGTTATAGCACTATGATGCCACTTTAAGTGCATGATTCCACTCTATGGGTTTTTCAGTTTTAGGAAGGGTATTAAGAATTCTGTGTCAGGGAGCTCTAGTGCCTCAGGAAACTACATATACCAAGGTTTCCTAGGATACAGCCATGAGAGTTAAAGAGAAATCATAGTGATGTGTAGTTTGAAAGAGGGGTGTCATCAGGAGATGTGAGGGGTATGGGCCACACCAGGTGACACCCTGAGTGAGGTGATGCTATTGCACCCCATTCTTGGAAAGCATGGGGTGAAGCAGTGAGGAGACAGCAGGGGCAGAAACATGAAGTCACTGGCACCCCAAAAAGATGGGCAGTATCACTGGTAGTGATGGCAGCAGCAGCAAAAACATCATTATTCATTCCATTTCATGATTATTACTGAAAATAATTTTGTTGGGAGGTGTTTAAAAATGATCTATATCAGGAGTCAAATATAATTGATATGCCACTAGCATGAAAGGAGGGGTTGACCCACAAGCCTCTGTGGCACTAAGTGAGGTTCAGTGTCAGGGCTGCTGTGCAGAGCGGGTTACGATGGTCCTCTAAGCGCTGAGCTGGCATTTGCTTTGGAAAAAGCTGACAAAGCAACCAGCCCTTTCCATATTTTTGATGCTTGACCTTTTGCCATGACCTCATCTAGCCAACACAAAGAATTGTGGATGGAGTTTTGCATCTCTAGCTATTTCCAGGCATGATAATGGTCATTTTATCATTCAGGTAACTGGCAGAATCTCAGAATTATGGGCAGAGGTGTCTAAAATTATTTCTACAGTTATTTTAAGTCACAGGGGGAGGAAAAGCAGGGAAGAAGAATGATGGAGAGAGGAGAAAGGAAAAGAGGATTATCATTGCATACACGTTCATCAACATCTATAGTCGTGTAGTCTTCTCCAATTTAGTGTCCTCTAAGTGCAACTGAACTCTTAACTCCCATACTCCCCAGATGGCATGGGTTGGCATGGCTGAAGATACTATGGGCCTTTGCAGACTGCCAGAAATAGTGCAAATTGAGACCACTTTAACTGACCTGACTCAGTGCTAGGGAACCATGGGAACTGTAGTTTATTGTGGCACCAGAGCTCTGACAGAGAAGGCTCAATGTCTCAGAAAAAAATACAATTCCCATGATTCCCTAGCACTGAGCCAGGACTCAATTGGACTCAATTTGCACTATTTCTAGCAGTCTGCAAAGGCCCTAAGTGTGGCAGTCCAACACATCTGAGAGATGCCAGATTAGGGAAGATTCAACTACCGGTATCAGTAGATTCAATTCTCTAAGTGCTGCTTTCTATGTACATTGAAAAGGCACCTTTTGAAGAGCAGCACTGCAACATTTTGTTGCAGTTTGCATTTGTGAATGCTAAAATCAAAGTCATCATCTGAATTCTGTAGCCAAAACAGCACCATCCATCCATAGGAATGAGGTACCACCATGGGGAACCCCATGAGCAAGCATCTTTTTTAAAAGGGTGTGCGTCTAAAATATCTATTCAGAACTGAGTATATTCAGTTCTGGAATAGTGGTTGTTTTGATGGGGCAGGGAGGATAAAAATAGGATGACACACAAAGGAAGGAAGCATCCTGAAAAAATGGCATCCTGAAGCATGGGGGAGTGTTAATGGCTGGCCATTTTTTGAACCGAAGCAATCATCACTGTAACAATTTGTTGTTTCCCTGATATTCTCATGTAATCAAAGCTGTTCAATATCTACCCATTGCACAGTGCAGAAAGGGTTTTTTGCAAGGAAGCAAAGTTTACCAAGTCTCCAAGTCTGAATATTAATCGTCTCACCATGTTACCAGCCCTCCTTATATTTTAAGGGAAAAAATTAGGATACTCCATGAAAGTCTGGTGAAAAACAAACAGGGTAGGCACAGTGGTTTAAGAGTTGGACTATGACTCTGGAGGCCAGGGTTCAAATCCCAGCTCAGTCATAGAAACCTACTGGATGACCTTGGGCAAGTCACACTCTCGCAGCCTGAAAGGATGGCAATGACCCCCTAAAAAGAAACATGCCATGAAAACTTCATGATAGGTTTGCCTCAGTTAGAAATGACTTGAAGACGCACAACAACAACAACAACAACAACAACAACCAAAGATTTCCTTGCTAATTTGAAGGAACTGTCAGATGGTATTCGTTAGGAATGTGTTACATATAGAGCATCCTCTGTTAAACTGACTTTCTTGGGAGCTACTTTGAGTCCATCTGTGGGAGAAAGGTGGCATACAAATGAAATAAATGCAATAACATTAATATTTTGAGAATTCAGGATAGATGCCATATTGAGGATGGAACAAGCTTGTTTGCTGCTACTCCAGAGACTAGACATGGAGCAATGGATTCAAACTACAGGAAAGCAGATTCCACCTCAACATTAGGAAGAGCTTCCTGACAGTCAGAGCTGTTTGACAGTGGAATATGCTGCCTAGGAGTCTCCTTCTTTAGAGATTTTTAAACAGAGGTTGGATGGTCATCTGTCGGGAGTGCTTTGATGGTCTCTTTTGCATGGCAGGGGTTTGGACTGGATGATCCTTAGGGTCTCTTCCAACTCTAGGATTCTATGAATCTTTTTGTGCTTTGTCCTTCTCCCTTTTTCTGTTCCTTAAACCCACTAACCTTCTTCTCAGCTTGCCCTCTACTGGGACAGCATTTGCAAACCTACCCCCAAACCTTGAACATTGCCAGGAAATCATAAGAATGAATGATGTAGCATTGGCAAACGTCTGCCAAATTGCAAGTAAGCATCCCACTCTGCTCTTTCAAGTGACAATCTTGCCAGGCGGTGGGAAGAGGTGAGCAAAGCAATGTTCCTCACACAATGTCTGGAACATTACAGGAGGAGGGCACTGAGCACTGTTTGAACAATATGCTCACCTGCTGCCACATTTTAAAAAACAGCCCTGTTTCAGGGTTTTTTAACAACAGCCAGACAGGCAGAAATTCCACAGGTAAAGTTTTTTCCTATCGCTAAGCAGAGCCATTAAAATAAGGTGGAAGATGTCAAGAACCAGCAAAATAACAGAGAAGAGACAGCAATACTCTGTCATGCCTAATTTGCAACTGTTGTTGTGTGCCTTCAAGTCATCTGCAACTTATGGAGATCCTAAGAGGAACCTATTACACTTTTCCTGGCAACATTTGTCCACAAAGGGTTAGCCTTTGTCTTTCTCTGAGACTGTGAGCATGTGATGCCTTAGGTCACCTAGTGGGTTTCTGTTCCCAAGTGAGGATTTGAACTCTGACCAGTTCAATGCTTAAACCACTACACCATGCTGGCCCTCACTATCCCATAAATGTCGACTCAGAAGCAATCCCCACTGAGGTCAATGGGTTTCAGCCTACATATTCCAAATACTGTCATGGAATTTTATATAATTAAAGGACTGCTTTGATTTATATTAGCTGGCCTTCTGTAGGTGCCTTATGCATGCATAAATTCCTCCATGGAAGTAGTGTGCAAAGAGATCTCAGAGCTCTAGAATGACATGGCTATGTCTCTGAATTCTGCCTCCATGAAAGCAGCTAGACAATTTTCTCTGATGCAGTTGAATGTGGCAGAGACAGAGTTGCATATATAGTGAAATTGCACATGTGGTGCCAATGTGCATTGCATATGCAGAGGTAGATTGTGCATTGCACATTGCAGTCAAGCATTTCACATTTGCTTGCACATTCAGTTGTGCAATGTTGCAATTCATTCATGCAGAATGGTCAAATAACTCTGTCTCCTTAATGCAGGATCTCATCCATTAATTCTCCTGTTGCCTCTCCTCATCTTTTTTGCATGTGGGGAGGAAGTTATTCCTTGAGGGTTTTTCTGATCACAGGGTCTATTCTCTTTGCTTGAGAGCCAGTATGGTGTAATGGTTTGAGCATACTCTGGAGATCATGTTTGAATTCCCACTTGGCTGTGTAAGCCCACTGGGTGACCTTGGGAAAGTCGCACTATCTCAGCCTCAGAGGATGGCAATGGCAAAGCCCCTCTGAAGAAACTTGTCAAGAAAACCCCATGATAGCTTCACCTCAAGGGAGCCATAAGTTGGAAACAACTTGAAGACACACAACAACAAATAAAAATGAGAAGAAGGGAAATGAATTCATCCAAATTTTTTTTTGGGGGGGGGGAGAATGGAAGGAACCAGAGATTAGAAGTAATATGTTACAAACAAGTAGCTGCTTGTAATTGGTTATTTTATAATTACTTGTAATTTTGTATTGATGATTATAATTAGGGATGTGGTGGCTCAAGTGGTTAAGATGCTGACTCAGTTGATTGCAAGATTGGCAGGTTGGCAGTTTGAGGCCCAGGTGCTGCTTGATGGAGTGAGCTCCTGTCACTAGTCCCAGCTTCTGCCAACCTAGCATTTCGAAAGCATCCAAATGCAAGTAGATAAATAGGTATTACTTTGGTGGGAAGGTAAATAGCATTCTCTGCAATGATGCTGGCCACATGATCACAGAGTAGTCTCTAGCAATGCTGGCTCTTTGGCTTAGTAACAGAGATTAGTACCACCCTCTATGTCAGACATGACTTGACAACCTTCTCAACAGGGAATACCGTTACCTTTATCTTTATAATTATACTATATTACAACTTTAACTAAATGAGGGGTAAGGTCATTCCTTTTGCTGTGTACCTGTGATTTTAGTTTTACTGTTATAGTTATAGGTATGTGGCCTCACTGGAGGAGACTCAAGTAATGGCTCATGCTCTGCTTTGTGCTGCTGCATCGTGCTTTGCTGTGAATGTGGATACCATGGCGAGATGGGTAGGAGTAGTGATTCTAGCATTCAGCTGTCTTGATAGGTAAAAGTTAAGGAAGTAAAAGTAACTATCCTCTACTAGGAGAATCTAGTATTCAGGAAAATGCATAGAGCTCTCCAGTGGAGAACTGTAGCAGCTCAACCAACCACAAATCTCAGGATTCCACAATTTTCATCTTGCGCCCACTACTCAGGTGCCATTTTGGAAGAAAAAATTGTGCCTGCTGTCACACACGCATGTGCACTACTCAGGTGCCATTTTGTCTTCCAAAATGGCACCCAGAGTCATGCGCGTGCGCCTCCAGCCCCCCGGAAGATCTGGGGGCCGGCGAACCGGCCCCCGGATCAAAAAGTCCAGGGACCCCTTATTGAGACTCTAGATTTTAGCTGAACATCTCAGAAAGCGGAAAGGGCAAAACAGCCTCAAGTTACAATTTCATAATGAACAACTCCCACTGAACTCACTGGACCTTGCTTCTGACACACATGTTTATAAGAGCCAGTGTGACATAATGGTTTGAGTGTTGGACTACAACTCTGGAGAGCAAGGTCTGATTTCCAGCTCAGCCATGAAATCCACTGGGTGACCTTGGACAAGCCGCACACTCTCAGCCTCAAGGAAAAGCAATGGCAAGCTTCTTCTGAACAAATCATGCCAAGAAAACACCATGATAAATTTGTCTTAGGGTCAACAGAAGGCCAAAATTACTTGAAGGCACACACACACACACATATATATATGCAAAGAGATCTTCCAGCATCTTTGAGACTAAATGAAAGACAAAAGTTGGTAGCATGACATTTCATAGACTTAAGTCTGCTCTCTCTCTCCCTTTGACAAAGTAGGTCCAAAGCTATGAAAGTTCATGCTACCAACTTCTTTCTTTCAGTTAATCTCAAAGGTGCTGCAAGTTCCCTTTGCATACTGATTTTCCAGACTAACACGGCTATATCTTTGAGAATATATATATATTTGCCCAACCCAGTGTGATTGATTTCCCACCCCACTGAGATCAAGAGCAAAGTTGCTGCTAGCTTTCACTGTACAGGATCAGGCCGCCCCCAAATGGGAAAAGATATATACACACAATATACAGCGCATATGCTGCATAGAATTGCTTTATGTGGCGATGACAAACGGATTCCTTTGAAGTGACCTTATTATACAAAGACAGGCAGCTCCTAACAATGCATCCCCCTCCCTCTCCAGAGAACTCTGCATAGACCCTGCATTGCAGTGCTTGCATGGGGACATATCACTGTTGCAATTGTTTCTGGATTCTGCCCTCACCTCCTGACCCCAGAGGTGGGAGCATTGCCAGCTTAGTTGTATGTACTGAGGCTGACAATTCTGAAAAAAAGAGTGCCATAAAAAAGAACTGACAAACACTCCTGACAGCAAGGTGCTTGGTTAACCTACTGACTCTTATTTTAAAAAAAAGAAGGCTCTTGTTCAAACCTGCATGAATAAGTTAACATCAAGGTTGTGCGTAGGTCATGATTCAACGTGGACCTGTGCCGAGAAAGAGAAAGATGGTTGTGGTTGTTAGACGACAGCCTGCATCATCAAATGCAACTATGACGATGGAGCTCTATTGTCATCTCTATTTCTGCTGATGCCATCCCTCCAAAACCTACCTCATAAGCCAGGCACTGGCCCAACCAAAGGGAATACAGAGGCACTGCAGATTGGGGTCCTGGGAAATAATGCTTGCAGTGCTCTCCTAGTTGCAGAGGGGCATTGTGACATGCAGGTGGAGTAACCCCTTGGGCTCCTGCTGCAATTGCTGATTTCAATGCACCCATAGCCAGAAAAGCACTGCAGCCATCATTTCCCCAATGTCCCAATCTGTAGCATCTTGGAAATCCATTGTTTGGGGCCTTGCCAGGCTTAAATGGTAGGTTTTGGGGGGTTGTGCCCAGTCATTAACACCCATAGATGTGAATCCCAAAATTTATTAGATTGCAAGTTCAGTTTACTATCTTGTAAATGCCAAATAGAATGCCATCCTTCATTATTATTAACTTTGGCCAAGTTCCTGAAACAATGTGTAATTTTACAATAGTATAGCTATGTCTCTAAGACAATCTGCAAGCCTTCCAATAAATTGTGATCATGCACATTGGGGCAATGGACAACATGTCCCATCATGCAGCAGAAGTTAC